CAAAGTGAGTTTTGCCCCATTGTACAACTCTTCTTGCCACATTTATTAAGGGAACCACTGCAGTTCTTAAATTAGTAACAGTTGTTAAGTGAATCTGACTTCCCTAATGATTTTGCTTGCCAGAAGGTTGCAAAAGGGGAATCACAGGACCCTGCAACATTGCAACCATCATAAATGAGTCTCTTGTCAAGCATCCGAATGTAAAGCACATGACCATGGGGATGCTGCAATGGTCATTAAGTGGGGAAAACGGTCGTCACTTTTTCCAGTTGTAACTGTCAACGGTCACTACATGAACCGTTGTTAAGTCGAGGACTACCTGTATTAGCAGCCCTCAGAAAGTCACAGGGTGGTGTAGCATGCAATGGTTGTCGTCACTGCAGCATCCCCATGGTCACGTGATTTACATTCGGATGCTTGGCAACGGACTCACATTTATGATGGTTGCAATGTTGCAGGGTCCTGTGATTCCCCTTTTGCAACCTTCTGGCAAGCAAAATCATTAGGGAAGTCAGATTCACTTAACAACTGTTACTAATTTAAGAACTGCAGTGGTTCCCTTAATAAATGTGGCAAGAAGAGTTGTACAATGGGGCAAAACTCACTTAACAAATGTCTCCCTTAGTGCCCAACATTTTAGACCTTGATTATGGTGAGGACTTAACTGGTACCTCTCTCTGAGTCTTGGGGTTGCATCTTGAAGTCTTAACATGCAGAACTTTAACAGTGAAGGTTAGAAGATAAAGACCGCTGGGGCCAAATGATAGTCTGTGATGGCCACAGGCAAAATCCTATTAGCAGTAGCATTTAGACTTATACACTGTACCATTTCATGGTGCTTTAGAGAATCAGCACATTGCCCCTAACAATCTGGGTCCTCATTTTACCATCCTCGGAAGGATGGAAGGCTAGGTCAATCTTGAGCATGGTGGGATTCAAACTGCCAAATTGCAGGCAGCAATTACCTGGCTTCTCCTCTTTTTATTCATTTGAGTGTCAGAGAAAGTCGGGATGGCTGCAACTTATCTGGAGGTGATACAAAGTTCAATGGGTTCTTTCCTTCCACCTCTCCCTCCCGCTCTCCCTTTTCTTTCTTTCTTTCTTTTTTTCTTTCTTTCTTTCCCTCTTTCTCTGCCTCCTTCCTTTTTCTTTCTCTCTCTCTCTGATTCTCTCTGTCTCTCTCATTCTCTGATTCTTGTCTGTCTCTCTCTTTCTCTGATTCTGTCTCTCTCTCTCTGTCTCTCTCTCCTTTTATTAGGCAGCCTCAGCATGAGCATCCACCCCAGCCGGGTGCCTTTCAGGACGTTCGGCTCCCAACTGTCACCTCCTTCCCCCATCCCTTGGCTTCCGAAGGCCAAGTGGAGGAAACCCACCACCACCCGGCTCTAGGTGTCGAAAGGTCCCCCCCCCCATAATCACACACCGAACTGACCAAGCGCCCGTCCGTTCCGTCCCCCGACCGGCAGCCGCGACGACGAGCTTACAAGCCTACGCTTACTCCGATTTCTCACCTGATCCATCTGACTTTTCAACACTTCCAGTTGCGGCAGGGAGAGCTCCGCGATGTTCACCTGCTGCGCCATCTTGGGAGGCGGAGACAGAGAGAGATCCCTCCGCGGACGCCACCTCGAGAGGGCAGTGACGTTCACTCTAGCTGTTTGGAGCCTATGATCAAGGCGCCCTTTGTGACTCACGGCCAACCGAAAGGGCCGCCCTGCCCAGCCAATAGAAAGACGCTTACGGCTCGGGACGCCCCGCCCCCATTCTTCTTAAGAGGACGGAAGCATCCTTACCAATTAGGGGGTGGGGCTGGAGGAGCACTACCAAGCCGTTTATTAACAGCAACTTTCAAGTATGCAGCCAACAAGTTATTATCTAATTTATAATTTTTATAAAGGTAGAACTAAAATTCCAAGGAAGGGTGTATACATTATCTAGTAGAATACTTATATTTTAAATTGCATACCTTCCCAAGCATCCCTAATGAATGGCTATACTGACTGGGGCCGCTGAAAGTTGGAGTACAAAGTTTGGCAGGACTGTTACCTATTTCCCATATTAGCCCAGTCACCTAAGTCTAGACAAGTCAGCTCAAACATGCTCAGTCAAGACTAGAACATATCCCCTGCCCCAGGTTCAGGATTGGCTCCAGGTATACACAGAAGTTGTTTGCTTTTAGCCTTTATTGAGATTTTAAAACATTAAAATACAAATAGATTTAAGAATAACTTACAATAATTTTTGAACATTTACTGTACAAATGTGATGCATATTTCAAAAGGTAGCAGAATACATAGGTTCTTATAAGACCTTATGCAAGCCTGCTACAGTAAAAAGGCAAGGTAGACTTGACCAAATATACTAGCATAAGTTAAATGTTTATATTTTCTCTTAAAACACAGTTAAGCACAATTTATACTTAAGGCAGTTCAAAATGTAATAATAAATTCATTCAACCCCCTTCACTCCCCCCCTCCCCAACATAAGTTAGATCTCATGTTTTGTTGAGTTTTCTATTTCAGGAACACTGGTAAGCCATATGCAACTGGAGCAGCGCCAATCATGTATCTGAGCTTGGGAGCCTGGCGGGATTCAATGATGTACTGTAGCAAAGGTGTTCCCGAACCTGCCTTGAGCCAGTTGTTCAGAAGTGCCTGCATATAGCGGTCAATATCTCGATCTGTTACATCCCAGAGATTACCCAGCACCAGGGGACTGGAAAACAAGGGAGGGGAAAGAAGTATGTGAGCACAAGTCATGTTTATAACAGAATCCTGAATACATCAATTGGTAGGCAAAACAGAGCAAAATTGGTTTGCTTGAGTAATACTTAGGCTTGCACAAGCATTTCATGTTGGATGGTGCCTCTTTGTTTCTGAAGCTTTAGGATAACAAAGATTTCTTTGTATTCATGTATACTCTTCCCATCACAGCTTGGAAGTCAGTATATCAGGATTTAGGAACTATGATTCTGGGCAATTACTATGATGATTGACTATGTTTTAGCAACTTACCATCCTGCCATGATGAACTTGAGGATAGCACCAGTTCCCTCCAGGTTGCCCTGTACAGCTAGAGCAGCACTGCTGCAGCCAAAAAGAAAAGCCACAGCTCTGCAATCAATCTTTAAGATGGAATCCACAAAGCGTGTGCCTGCCCCATGACCAGCATAGCTAAAAGAAGAAAAAATTGACACCTCAAAAAATCTGGCAGATTCCCTTTTTGCAATTTCTTGATTATCTTTGTTTCCCATTAATTTGCAGATCTAAATGTTAAATAATATACATAATAATATGTGGGGAGGAAATCAAGGAATTTCCAACATTGTTGTCTTAGTAAGTAGCCCAAAATATAGTTAAGGCATAGAAACGCTTTCCTTTCCCCATAAGCCAGTTCTTCTCCGTGATATTTTGGTTTTGCATAACTATTATCTGAGACTTTAAATATATAAATACTTAAGGAACAGAAAACAGTGTTTAAATACATTCAGAGAAAAATGTATTCCTGAGCAACTTTTTAATTTTTCCATTTTCCTGTATTCTTTAGGCCAGGGGTGTCAAACTTGCATTATCAGGGCAGCATCACGTGATGTATTGCGAGACCCCCCCTTCAATAAACCAGGCATGGGCGGGGCTAGCATGGGATGCATCCAGCCTGTGAGTTTGAAAGCCCTCCTCTAAGCATCTGCTCACATACTTCTCAGACAATGAATAGCATTTCTCCAATGAGCCTATGTAGCTGAGATCTACTGTATCAACACCTTATTTTAAAGACAAGAACACTTGCAATTAAAAGTATAACCAAGAAAAATGTTATTCTGTTGGAGCAACTATATCAGACCCAGGATCCACTTCCTCTATGTTTTAATAGCTTTCATGACAGAAGTTTTCTATCTGCAGTTCACTGAAACTTTTTGCTGGCACTAGAATGGGATATGCAGCTCTGCCTTGTACTCACATGTAGAGGTCACATTCTTCGAGGGCCTGTGGTACTTGGTCTGTACTGGGAACTTCTCCCACCACTCCTGTCCATCCAGGTTCACTATCAAGTAATAAGCAGAGAAAAAAAGACTATTGTTCTGACCGAGGCGTCCCAAGAGCATGAAGCAAACTCCTTGTCCAACAAAAAACCCTTTTATGAATTTACTGTGAATTCTGCTCTTCACATCCAGCGAAGTCTTTCAAGGGCGGATTTACAGTCCTTATCTGGCTTGAAGAGCTGACAGACCAATTAAGTGAATTAATTGTCTCCTGCAAACTCCACTCCCCTTTCGCTCTTCTTTTATTTCCTCTGGGAGGGCCATTCATCGTCCACCTGTGGCCTTACTCCCAAGTCGATCCCTGTTCTTTAGCTGTTCCCTTTGTCTGCGCATGTGCACATTGGGAACAGGCTCCAGCTGTTCGTCTGCCTCACTGATGTCTGACTCTGAAGGCAGCTGATAACTGGCATACGGCTCTGGCCCCCTCNGCCACCTTGGCTCTTAATTAATTTAATCTACTAAATCAAGGGGTTTTGCCCTTGATCTGAAAGAGAACTATCGTATTTTTCGGAGTATGACACACCTTTTTTCCTCAAAAAAACTGGCGGAAAATCTGGGTGTATCTTATATACTGAATACAGCATTTTTGCCTCCTGAAGCCCTGCCCCTTTCACCAAAATGATCATGCAGAGCCTGTAGAAGGCTTCCAGAGTGCTCCTGGGAGCTAGGGAGGGCAGAAATGAGTGAAAAACGGGCCGGTTTTTGCTCAATTATGCCCCCTCCCAGCCCCCAGGAAGACTCTATAAGCCTCCTAAAGGCTATGCATGCAATTTCTTTGACAAAAAACGGGCCCATTTTCGCAAAAAAAATGAGCTGTTTTTTGCTCGTTTGGGGGGGGGGCACCCCCCAGGAGCACTCTGCAAGTCCCCTAAAGGCTATTCATGGCTTGGGGGGTGGGGAGAAACGGACCCATTTTCATGAAAAACGAGCCATTTGGGAGAGGTTTGCAGAGTGCAAAAACCTTTTTTTTAATTTGCCTCTTCAAAACCTTGGTGTGTCTTATATTCCGGTGCATGTTATACTCCAAAAAATACGGTATGTGCAGTAGAAAAGCAGAATCACCATCATTCTTTTGTCCAATGCTATCCGACCAGTCCACCAATCCTCTTTCAGTGTGAAATTTGAGATCTCTTTTTGTTTTTGCAGGATGGCTTCGAATTCACTTAGAGCTGCACTTAAGGAGACCTGAAAAAAACACCAAAAGGAATATTATGAGACAAAACATGGCCTAAATCCAGAAAATTACCATATAAAGTTCTCCTTCTCACTGTTCTTACCTTGGCATGCAGAGTCTGTATCTGGATGTTCACAGGGGTAGCATCCTTCTCTAATCTTGTCAATAAGAGGATGTCCTCAGTGGTCTGTGGTTGGGTGCTCACCAGTGTCATTATGCACACTGTGATTCCTAAGAAGGAGACAGCAAGACTCGTAATTAAGTCAATTGAAAAGAGAAAATGTTAATGAGTAATACTATGACATTAAACCAAGCCTTTGTTTGCCAAAGCACAACACAAAGAAAATTCTATTTCAATATCTTGAACTAGGCCTTCAAGCCATCATCTCTGCTCATTGCTCTCCTCCTTTAAACCCTGCACTTTTTAGCCCCCAAAAGGTTAGAGCAATGAAAACAAAACCCCAAATAACGATTGAGAAAAGATGGGCAGGGCAGAAGTCTGAATGTAAATCACATGACCACGGGGATGCTACAGTGGCTGTTAAGTGTGAAAAACAGTCAGTGATGTTATAACTTCAGTCAGTAAACTCTTGTAAGTCATGGACTATCTATATCAATGCACAAGAACCAGTGTGGTGTAGTGTTAAGGTACCAAGCTTGAAACCAGGAGACCATGAGTTCTAATCCAGCCTTAGACATGAAACCAGCTGGGGGACCTTGGGCCAGTCATCCTCTCTTAGCAAATAAAGCAAAGTACTTCGCCCCCAAAAAACCTTGCCAAGAAAATTGGCGGGGCTAATCCAGTCATGAAGATTCAAAACAGACCTGAAGGCACACATACACACAACATTAACACACATCTCTGAGAAGGCCTCTGTATGTGTGAGAACAGTCTTCCTTTTCAGAGTGGTGCTACTTGCCAACCACAATCAAAATATGATTCCATCTTACACATCCATCACATACCAGGGGGGATTTCCTGCAGGCTTTCCCTGAATTTCTTAGTTTCCAACCCTGTTGACGTGGGGCAGCTGAACTCAAAGACGTTCTGAAGTTCTAAGAGCTGCTGAAGCTGAGAATCCGCTTTTCCTTCTTGCAGGGTAAGTGCCTCCAGTTCCTTGGAAACACCGGCCACTGATGTCTTTTTCATTTTGCTAAGGAGGAAATGTAACACTAAGATTCTTAAGACATCCTGAAAAGGGGTCTCTGCTTTATTGCGGAAATAACGCTTTCAAATGTATTCCTTTCTGTAAATAGGACACGCTGTTACTGGTAAAGACAATGTTATAATGTTAAAAACAGTTCTAAAAATTTCACATTAGTCACAGAGGTCTACTCCATCTGCTTGGAATTTTTTTAAAAAAATGTATTACCTGCCCATATTTCATGGACTTATTTAATGATTAATATTTTGTCCACAGTTTGGACTGCACTTGTTCTGAATTTTAGGCCATGATGTTTTGCCAAGTTTCCAGTTTATTAAAAGTTCAGCTAAAACCTGGTATGGGAAACAAGTGCCTTCAAGCATCAGGGGAGCTTCAAATATATGCCCATAGGACAGTGTTTTTCAACCTTGGCGACTTTAAGTCCTGTGGACTTCAACTCCACAGGACTTAAAGTGGCCAACGTTGAGAAACACTGTCATAGGAAGGCTACCCACTATATCTCTGCATGGTTTACTAATCTACTTTCCAGAAGATTCATAGTAATAGACAGTTCTGCATCCAGTGGTGTATTAACCATTAAGCAGACTAAGCATGTACTTAGGGCACCAGGCCCAAGGGGGCACCATAAAATTGAGAGAGGAAAAAAAACAATGATTTGAACAGTCTATACAAAGGAGGAGGCACCAAGATTTGTCAGTGCTTAGGGCACCAATGAGCCTTAATCTGCTACTGGCTGCATCTCTTGCAACTTTATTTCCATTT